TGTGATTCTGTGATTCTGTGATACTGGGAATTACTATTCTAATCAGAAGGATTTTTGGAGACAGGACAGGTGAAAATAACCCAGGGAAAGTAAGATGAAGCACTTGGAGGGCAGAGGGAGTAAGAGGGTAGTCACGTGCTAGCCCCAGGTCAGCTCTGTGCTGCTTTTTGGGAGCCTTTGCTTTGGCCATCACTTCTGTGGTAAGGGAAGTGCTGTGATAAAAGGAAATATTTTGTACTGATTGCCCTCTAACTACTCCTAAAGGTTTAGGTGATGCAGAAATAAAAGCTTTAGTGATTTCAATGCTAGTGCTCCTGCTGCTCATGCTATAGATGGAGCTGCAGGCAGGAATCTGACAGCTTAAGGCATTCCCAAAAAATAATTGGTATTTTCTTACTGTTGTACAGTAACAGCTGTAATATTAACAAGGTGCATTAGTAGCACCTTGGGAACCATTTTAAACCTCTCTCCTTTGTCTTTTGAGTAATCTGAAAAGAATTTAGCATCTCCTTAATTGTGTGATGCTTTTTCTTAACTGAGTTGCATCACCTTCACTGCATTGTAACTTATTTTTTCCCTGTCGTTTTCAGTATACTAACTCTTTAGATAGAAAGGATATCTCTTACTTCAAAATTAATTGTTTTAAATGTTACCTGTAATCCAGTTTTTAACCTGGAATGTTCTTTTGTGTGTATGTTTCACTGCAATAGCATACCATTATTTAGCCAGTTCTCTGTACATTTATCAGTTTTACTCTTCCTCAAAACGTTAGACTTTAAATCTGACCACCACTTTTTGTCTTATGATTTTATACTACATACTCAGATAGCATAATTACAAAACCTTGCTGTTTACTTTCTTTTTAGTCTTTGGATGAAACATTATCCAAATGGTAAAAAGAAATACCATGAAAATAAAGTAGGGTTATCATAGAAACCTTGCATCTGCAAGTTTGCTTGCAGTTTAGCATGGAATTGCTAACTTGGACATATTTAATTAATGAAGGAGACACTTCACTGTGGAGAACTGTAAATTTACTTTCCAATAAGAACCATTATGAGCTTAGAAATATATCTTCTGGTGTAGGTGTTTTGTTTTTTTTTTTGTTTTTTCTAATTAGAACAATATCTTGTGAGTCCTTCTTAATTATAGTTAATATGAATGCTCAGCTATTCCTACAATGGCTGTGCTAAATTTAATGTTTAGCCAAGGTGGCATGTTTTGTAAAAGCAAACAGTAACAAAACAAATAAATGCCCTGTCCACCCTGAGAATGGGTAACAGCAGTGTACAGTGAAAGGGTATTTGGAATTTTAAGATTTTACCCTATTCTGTTTACTGTGTATCCTGCCACTACTACCACTGTCTCCATAAAGAGAATAGGTGCAATAGCTCGTCCTGTACTTCTAGAAGAAGCTGATGTTGAGACTTGCCACACCTTTTTATTTGTTGAGAACTATTTTTCAAGATAAATGTGCTTTTATGGATGTAGTCTTCTCTTAGTTAGCTAATCTTTCAATTAGTTAAAGAAGGTACATGGAATTACTGTTTTTCAACTCATACGGAGAGTCAAAGTTAGCAGTGCAGTGATAATTTGGTTAGCTGCGTAATGCAACCAAATAAAAGACAAATGAAGCTGCTTAGCAATAAACTATCCATGGGCAGCACTCCGGTATTTTTCATTTGGTGGATGCAGCATCATCACATGTTTAATAGAGCTCTCAAATTCATAATACTTAATGCATTGTCTCTAACAGGAGGCTGCAGTGCTAGTAAATGAACCCTTGTCATGTCTCTTTGATGATGGTGTATATTAGTTGCTCATTATCATGCATAAATTCTTTAAAATGGAAAACAGGTGAACTTGAAGCCCATAAGTAAAAATGTTAAAGTGAGATTTATTTTAACATTTGGATATGTATTATTTAAATAGTCTTAACCTTTTTTTATTTGCTGTCGTTTGTCACTGATGCGAAACATTTACTGTTTACTCAACAGTAGTCTTTCCCTCATTATTTTATGTGTGTCAGTATTTTTAGGGATCTTTCTGCATAATCTTAAGCTTGAGAATCTTATTAATAAAATTTGCATTAATATGTAGCATGATTAATGAAGGATTCAATGACACTGCTGTTATTCTGACAGAATTCAATTGAGATTAAAAATCTTGGCTTGTAACTGTTGTTATATACCATATGCCTAATGGTAAAACATGATACTTAAACTTACCTACCAACTAAAAAAGTAACTGTAAGTCACATTTACATGGGATGTACTTGGAACAGATTTCATACCATAAGTCAAAACTGAGTTTCAGTAAAGTGTTGAAAGTGGTATTACCTGGTAAAGGTCTTTGGGGTTGTGGTTGTTTTGGTTAGAATTTCTATGCTAATTTGGGCACTGAAGCTAAATACACTTCAGTAGTTTGAGGCATCACAGATAAGAGGCAAAACTTGGTTTACATATAGATACTAACTTTTTTAGAGTAAATACGTTTCATTCTAAATTGAATGAAAGCAAAGAATACAACTTTCTTTACATTCCTTTTTTTTTTAATCAGGGTGAACAACTGTGTAGGATTCTCCAACTACAAGTTTTTTCTTCTCTTCTTGGCTTACTCTCTACTGTATTGCCTTTTCATTGCTGCAACGGATTTACAGTATTTTATCAAGTTTTGGACAGTAAGTATTCTAATATACATCCTGTCTTTAAGCATCTGAAGTTACCACTGTGGGAGAAGTTTAAGATTCAAGGCTTTACATTGTAATCTAGTGTCTCCTAATACAAGGTACAAAAGTTTATCTGATAATCATAGCCCTCTACTTTTTTTTCTTGTTTATAATAGTTTATGAATTTTCACTTACTCCTACATTATTTTGAATCTGTGTAGAACAAGTATGCAATTATTAATTATTAAAAAAAGTTTACAAGGGTATTTGTATTATATATAGGTTTTGTTAACTTCTTTTAATGCTATGCTATGAAAAGGCTTCAGGGACATTTTCTAGTATTGTAATTGTGATTATCTGGGTTCACACCTCAGGATATTACCCTGTTAGATTTGCAACATTTATGCTATAATGTAACTGTTGTGAAAAGGCTAATTGAACAAGACCATTTTTGCAGAGAGAAAATATTCTTCTCTAAAAGATACTTCAAAGTTTAGATCCGAATTGCAGACTCTTGTTGTCAGTATCTATACTTTCTCAAGAAGGCATCCGTTTCTGTAACTTAAATGCTGTCAACAACCTACTTGCACAGCCATCCGTATGTAGGTGTATAATTCATTTATTCAGACTCTTGTTGCATGGTATGCTTGTGTCTGCACTGAATTTGATTTGGCTGAATGGAGAGTTATTACTAATCAAATCAAACAGCTATTTCCCCAATTCTAATGGCATATTTTTTTTTAAATTTTTTAGAATGGCCTTCCCGATACTCAAGCCAAGTTCCACATCATGTTTTTATTCTTTGCTGCGGCGATGTTTTCGGTCAGTCTGTCTTCTCTCTTCGGGTATCATTGTTGGCTTGTCAGCAAGAATAAGTCTACGTTAGGTAAGTGGATTTAAAGCTTCTGTGTTTTACAGCAAAAAATAAATCATAGATGTATACTGTATGTATGGGGGTACTGGGAAAAGCGGGCAATCCTATAGAGGGTTCTTGGAATCTGGTTAGAAGTGCCCAGGCCTGGCAATGTCCAGTGCTGACTCTCCAGTTCTGCTGTTCCCTGGAAATTCTGACTCTTTTCCTCCTGCCCCATCAGACCAAGTTATTAATGAACTTATCCTCTGTATCCCACTTCCTCTCATTCACATCTTGTTAACAGAAGCTCAATAAATTAAAAAAAAATAATGAAATCACTTTGTAATAAATGTTAGAAGCACTAAGGAGGGAAGGAGATGCAAGGAGGAGAAAAAATAATGCACAAAGTAGGCTGATTGTGGCCCTGGTGGTGTTGGTTTTAGTCAATGTGAATGAGCATGAAGAGCCAATGCCAGAGAATGATCTGATACAGAGCAGACTTTAAGACAGTGCTGCTATATTTAGAAGTAAATGAACACAGAGATCTGAAGGGTGGTTTCACAGTTGTGGATCCTGTCTACCATGTAATCATGGATGCACAAAAAGGAGACTCTTGAGTTAACTTGAAAAACCTCAGAGAAGGTGGCCTGTGCCAGTACCGTGGGAGTGTATATGTAACTGCATTGAATATCAATGTTAAACCAGGATTTCTCCTTCCCTGGATGTATGTTGATCTGGTTACAGATCTCAGGGAAAAAAATAATGAAAAGAGTTGCAGAAGATTTGAGTGCCTGTTCTATACCGTATCCTGGACTCTAATAATACCAATCAGTGGCATATTCATTAGAGTTTCTAAATCTCTAAATGCTGTTCTGTTCATAGAAGCTGAATTAGAGTAAGCCAATGAATTGATCTGGTTTTTTTCCAGTTCTCTTGGCATTTACTAGTGTGTAGATGATTGATGGAAAACTTTCAGTATGTATCATTGGAGAAAGGTTGTTTACTTCAGAGATTTCTCTAGGGTTTGTGAGTTTCTTCAGTATTCTGAAAAATCATCTACTTAGAAATTAGTACTGAAAGCAATTTGTTCACTCCAGTTGCAAGTGGAGAAAAGTTTTATTAATGATGCTTAAATAAATGGAAATAATTATTATATTTATAAACTGTTCTTACCATTTTAATGAAAAAGATTTGTTCAAAGGTAACCATAATACATAATTCTAATTCAACATTTCGTATTTTTAAAATGGAATTCCGTGCAGGTGATTTACCATGTTTTCCGTACACTTAAACAACTCAAAAAGATTTTTTTTGTCTCTTCTTCCCATTTTACTTTGGGAAGTTGCTCGATATGTGAAACCCTGAACATGCAATAGTTTCGTAATGAAGCCATGTCAGCTTTAAAGTGTGACTGTGCTTAAATCATCCTGGAAGCTGTTTTCCTGGCCTAACATGGGCATCTAAAAGGGTCTCTTTGTTTTCCCTTCCCCCTTCTTTAAAACACCTTGTAACTAATGCATACTAAATGTTGAATATAATTTCTAGCAGTTCATAGCTAAGGATTTACTGCAGAAGGATGATCTCTGCATGGTTCCAGCATGATTTGTGTGAGCTGTATACTGTGAGGACATCAGGACATAGTTTGCCTACTATATATAGCCAATTAAGGGAATTAAATGGCTATCAGTCACTTGGTGCAAGGTGAAGGAGTTTTCTGCTTCAGGCACTTTGCAGCACTTGAAGCTATACATAGCTCTCTTCTCCAGAAATTCAGGTTGGACCTCCGTGGGGAGTAATTTGGGTGTACAAGTGAAGTGCTTTGTTTATGCAGCTGCAAAACACACAGTATTTTCATACCCCAAAGTGTGAAAAGCTTGTCTTCCTATGAAAGTGGGTTAAGCTTTTCTTCTTTTCCATTACTCTTTCTGTAGTAAACCCTTTGTTTAGGTTTTTCTTTCTTGAACACACTGTGGTGCAGTCACATGCTGAAGTCTTCATAGAACGTATCACACCTTCTTAAAAAGTAAGTTCTTGCTTCTCCTTGGCTTGATCAGGGAGAAGTTTGGAGACTTCCACCCTTCCTCAGCCATAGGACTTGCTCTGCCCACACAGTGACTGTCTAGCACTGATTTTGGCTTTCATGAGTGGACTCACTTCCTCAGTTGTTTGGGCAGTACAGCCTTTCCTTTCGGATGATGGTATCATCAGTGCAATTGCCAAAATAGTGGTCTGAAACTTAAAACATGCTATCTTGTGAAGACATCTAAATTTGTTTTTCTTTTAAGAGGTATTCAGAGCTCCCATATTTCGTCATAGAACAGACAAGAACGGCTTTAGCTTAGGCTTCAGCAAAAACCTAAGGCAGGTGTTTGGCGATGAGAAGAAATACTGGTTGCTGCCTGTGTTTTCAAGGTATGCTCAGTTTTTAATGCTTCATTTGTTGAAACTGTTTAATAATCAGGATCCACAGGGTTTGGGGTCTTAGTTTTTTGAAATAAGATATGGTAATATTCACTTTAGAAAAAAGCAGTTATTGGAAACATTTTTCTATGTATGACACTAATTCTGGTTTTTTTCAGTCTAGGGGATGGTTGCTCCTTCCCAACTTGCCTTGTTAATCAGGATCCTGAGCAAGCTTCCACACCTGGTGGTCTTAATTCAACATCCAAAAGGTAATCTGCATTTTGTCTCTTATTTCAAATAGTTGATACTCTCTTTTTTCCAGTGCACATCCAAATAAAACCACATACAAATACTTAAAAGTGGTAAGCAAATGAAGAGTCCTCTATTAAGAAATAGAATTCAATTTTTAAACAGCTAAACTGTAATTCATCTAATCCTCAGACTTATATTTAGATTTATAGAAATAAGATAGGGATTTTTCCCCTTGATGCACTTTGTCTTGGTTCA